ATTTGCAAATATTTGCAAATTATTTGCAAAATGAGTACATAATTTTCAAAAAAATCGGTCATGGGGGGGGGGGGGCCAACTTCACGCACGTGCTCTTCGCACGAAGTTTCGTCGTAATATTACAGGTATCCAATTTAATCCGCTGTCCCCACGTGGTCAAGACACAGCATGATTGTCACCAGTGATTCGGCCACGCCATTGAATGTTCCGGTAGTAACGGTCACTACCAGCTCGATGATGATCACAACAACCGCCGTGGGCCAAGCGCCGATTGTGACAAGCGCTGAAGTTGCTTCAGCCGCAAACGTCCGTCTTCAGGGCTTTTAGCGTCACGCGCCCAGGCAGTGGTTCACGCACGCAGACGCAGTGTTTCACACCAGCTGCGTCAGATCCGATATGTCGAGTGTCAAACACGTGCTGGCATCCAGGCCCGGATAGGGCCGGCGAGTTACCGAGTTGAATTCGGTGGGCCGCTTAAAATTTGGGCCGGCAATGTAATACTTGGCCGAAAATATTTGAATACCCCAAGCTCTGTACAATGAAGTATAAATACAAAATACTCCACTGACTACAGACAACAGTCAACAACCATTCCAATAACCATGTTATTAAGTATTAATAGCATATAAATAATTATTTACTAGTATAGTATAGGCTAGTTCGATAAGTTACTATTTAATTATATTATTATGACGATTGACGGTTATAACACTTATAAATCTACGGGGTTTTCCATTATTATCGGCCCACACGAGTGACAGCACTCACACATACACATTACACATACTGATACATAGACAGTAGACACATTCTACAAAAATGAGTAAACGACAAACAAACTCGCATAGTCGCAGTTTCGCACTAAACGTCTAAACGGTTCTCACATACGACACATTATTATTTAATTCCTACTTCATACTCATCAGTGATCAGTGATCAATACCTAGTAGATTTATGATGAATAAAGATAAACCTACGAATGTTAAAGGAGCGGAAAAGTTAAGACTAAAACGGGATGCTGAACGGAAAGCTGCCGGAAGTGACCCTAAACAATCTAAATTATCTTTTGTTAAAGCGCCCAAAAAAGGTAAGTTTAATTAGTTAATTATGATATTCTACACAATAGTATTTATGTAAAATATTTTAAATTTATAATTTTGAAATTAACAATACCTGACTATTGAGTATTGATTAATTCACACGGTGTATGTTTGTATTATTAAATTATAACAAAATTGGGGTTAACAGAGTTTTTTATTTTTTTTTTATTATAAAAGCCGCTAGTATATACTATCATAGCTTGACAAACAGAGTTTTAATTGATCAAATTTATAGCCATACATATATGTTAAGTGTTTTATGTCTACAGGACTTAGTTGTCTTGGTTACCAGAAAAATGCCTAATTATAAATTTTTCATAATAAGTAAAATATTCTGTGATTACAAATTTAAAATGTTGTAATTTTCAGGTAACATAAGTCTTGTTAGGAGTTCCACTAATATATTTTGTTGTTAATATTTTAATTTTTAACTACCATCAATCACCTAAATAAGTTTTGGATGATTGAATATTCAATTATATAAAATGTATAGATAATGATCTAGATAATGAATTGTCTTTGCCTTCAATTTGCAATGATAATTCTCAGGAGATGGTTGAATTGGAGATGAAAAGTCCACCTGAAAATTCTCTGTTCATGGTCTGTATAAAATTATTCAATTCTATTTTTTGTATAAATATATGATGTTACTTATCATTCATTTGTTTAGGAATCCACGCCTGAAAATTTGCAAATTTCAATTGTAGAGGATATTGAATGTAAACTAACTGACTCATCAAAACTTAATAATGACCTGGATATTGGAGTGTCTTTCACTTTAATGTGCAGTGATAAATCTCAAGAGATAATTGAGTTTGAGTCTGGAAGTCCACCGGAAACCCCTTTGTTTATGGTCTGTGTAAAATATTTAATTCAATTCTTTGTATGAATATATTAAGTAACTTATTATTCATTTATTTAGAAATTCACACCAAAAAATTTGCGAATACCAATTGTAGAGCCTATAGAGAAAATGGAATGTATACTAACTGACTCATCAATACTCGATAATTCACTGGTAATGCAAAATAAATTAAATATTTATGATAAATTGGAGCATAATATCACACAAAATTAAATATATTATAATGTATTTTATAAATATAAATATAAACATAAATTGTTTTTCAATGTTTAAAAATTAATAATTGATCGATTTAATAACTAAATGATAGGTAGACAGGTAGTATACAATCTAAATTATTTTTCACTAAATTATAGATTTAAAAAAAAAAATATTTAACCGTAATAATACCTACACCTATAGGCAATACGTAAAATACTAATACTGTGTTGCATAATACAATTAATTGAAATTTAAAATATAATGTTTCACTAAAATGTAATGGACCTATCGTGGGCCACTGAATCTGGTTTAAATGACCATTAACTCATTATTGATTCACTAAACGTTGAGTGCAACCCAGCATAAGATTATCAATATATGTTTAAGTATTAGAATTTTTATACCTACCCATTGGTATAGTTATAATTTATAAAAATATATGTATTATAGTTTCACAAACTAATAAATTTAAAATAAACTAATCCTTTATAATACCTATATTACAGTAAATTAGATCAGTGATGCCCAACCTTTTTTCCTCGGCGGGCCACTTTGGTAAACATTTGTAATCGAGCGGGCCACCAAATATAAAAGTACTCATATTCTCAATCTTAATATAATTTAGTTACACATCGTAGGTTGCAATATAATATGGATATCTTATCTTTTTTATTGACTATAGCACAGATTACAAATTGAGGTACACGTTGTAGGTACGCATTAACTTGATCAGTACGCTCTTTATAGTGCACGGGTGATATCGATTTTAAATCATAAAATTTCTATTTTAAAATGTCCGACAGAAAAAAGCGAAAATACAATGATGATTACCGAATTTTTAACGAAAAATGGTCAATAAGTTACTTTTTCATTGAAATTAATAGAAAAGCTGTTTGCCTTGTGTGTCGTGAAACGGTTTCAGTTTTTAAAGAATTTAATATCAAACGACATTATGAAACAAAACATGAAGCAAAATTCGGCAATTTAAAAGGTAAGCTATTATTTTCATTATAATTAAGTTATAGGTACAAAAACTTAATGTCGTATAATATTATTTAATTAGGAGAATTACGTGTTACTAAGTTAGAAGCATTCAAAAAAGATATCCACACCCAAAATGTTTCAAATTTATTTAAAAAACAAAATTCAACTAAAACAAATGTTGTACAAGCGAGCTATAAAGTAGCGAATTTGATAGCTAGTGAAACTAAACCTCTAAGTGAGGGAGATTTTATAAAAAAATGTATTTTAACTGTGGTTGAAGAAATAATTCCTGAAAAATTAGAACTTTTTAAGGAAATAAGTTTATCACGAAACACAATTACCAGACGTGTTGAAAATATAGGGAATAACATACTTACACAGCTACAGAACAAAGCACGAGATTTCAAATATTTTTCGCTAGCACTGGATGAGAG